CAAAAACAGTACTATGGATAGCTTCTTTGAGGACAAGGGAATCTCTCACAACTTCTCTTCTGTGAGAACTCCACAACAAAATGGGGTCACTGAAAGAAGAAATCGAACAATCATTGAGGTTGCTCGATCAATGCTCAGCGAATCTCATCTTCCTATTAAATTCTGGGCCGAAGCTATCAACATTACTTGTTTCACTCAAAACCGGTCGCTGATAGTTAAGAGATTCAAGAAGACAGCTTACGAACTCTTCCATAGCATAAAGCCTTCTCTCATCTTTCTTCATATATTTGGTTGCATGTGTTTCATTCTCAACAACTGTGACCAACTTGGAAAGTTCGATCCCATAGATGATGAAGGAATCTTTCTTGGATATTCTTCAGCATCCAAAACCTTCAGAGTATTCAACAAACGTCGACAAACCATAGAAGAAACTATCCATGTCACCTTTGATGTATCTCAATAAGCTAAATCTAAACCCATCATTAATGATGATGAAAAATTAGAAAGCTGGATGTTTTCTCATTTTGGACAACCTGAAGCTTCCTTCAGCAATCAACCCAATGCTGATACTCTAGAAGCTGATGATGATCCAATTATTATTCTAGTTGCAACTAATAACCAAAGCAAATCTTCTTCAGAGATCATTGCACTTCCCATTAGTTGTATTCCTCCCTCTACTTCAAACACTGACCAACCAGTGAATGAAATGCCTTCAACATCTGAATCTCTATAAGTCGTTGAATTTCTCTCTGAGGCTCCTTTAGCAATTCAACCCATTGCTGAAGAATCTACAACAAAAGCCTCATCTTCTCTACCTAAACATTAGTGCTCAGATGACAATCTTCTACCAGCTCAACGATGGACAAAAGACCATCCAATGCATCAAATTCTTGGTGATCCAAGTGCAGGGATTCAGACACGACGTGGTCTAGGTAATATCTGTCTCTTTGTCAACTTTCTTTCTTTAGTTGAACCCAAGAAAATTAATGAGGCTATCTCAGACCCTAGTTGGGTCATTGCCATGCAAGAGGAACTCATGGAGTTTGATAGGAACAAAGTCTGGTACCTTGTCCCATGTCTATATGACAAAACTGTGATAGGCACCAAATGGGTCTATCATAATAAGTTAAATGAACAAGGTGTGGTAACCCGTAACAGGGCTCTCCTTGTTTATCAGGGTTATAGATAAGAAGAAGAAATCGATTATGACAAAACGTTCACACCAGTGGCTAGACTTGAAGCTATTCGACTCTTTCTAGCCTTTGCTGCCCATAGAGACTTTTTAAAGTGTTTCAAATGGATGTAAAGAGTTATTTCCTTAATGGAAAACTCCAAGAGAAAGGTTTCTTGACCCAAAGTATCCAAATCATGTCTATCGATTGGATAAAGCTCTTTACGGGTTAAAATAGGCCATTCGTGCCTGGTATGATACCCTCACCTCATTTCTTATCTCTGAGAAATTTATCCGTGGAAAGATTTACCAGGCCTTATTTCTTAGGAAAGTTAAAGGTCACATCATTCTAGTCCAAATTTATATCGATGAAATTATATTTGGTTCTCCTAATCCCTCTTTGTATTTTATGTTCACTGATCACATGAAGAAAGAATATCATATTAGTATGATGAGAGAACTAACCTATTTTCTATGTCTACAGATCAAGCAATCAGATAAAGGTATCTTTATTAGCCAAAATAAGTATGTCAGACATATGCTGAAAAAGTTTGATCTATCCAACAGCTTATCTATGAAAACTCTGATGGCTCCTCCTCTCTCACTAAACAAGGAACCAAACGGAAAGCCTGTAAATGTTACTGTTTATATAGGGATGATTGGCTCTCTATTGTATCTCACAGCAAGTCGTCCAGATATCGTGTACTCTACTTGTTTATGTGCAAGATATCAATCTGAATCTAAGGAATCTCATCTCATTGCTGTAAAACGCATATTCATATACCTGAAGGGAACTCCTAACTTGGTTTCTGGTACCCAAGGGTTCAGGTTTTGACCTAATAGATTATTCGGATAGTGATTTTGTAGGATGTAAAATTGATATGAAAAGCACCACTGGAGGTTGTCAGCTTCTAGGTGGAAAGTTGGTAAGCTGGACAAGTAAAAAGCAAAATTCTATGTCCACATCAACTGTTGAAGCTGAATATGTTGCCGCTGGAAGCTGATGTGCCCAAGTTCTTTGGATGAAAAACTAGCTCCACGACTATGATCTTCAGTTTTCCAAGATTCCTATCTATTGTGATAGCACCAATGCTATTGCTATTGCAAACAATCTTGTTCTTCACTCCAAGACCAAACATATTGAGATCAGATACCATTTTATCAGAGATCATGTTATGAATGGTAATATTGCACTTTATTCCAACTGATTACCAACTCGCTGACCTTTTTATAAAGCCTCTTGATCAGACAAGATTTAACATCTTGATTAGCGAACTTGGAATGTTGAACACTGGGATTAATTTTCTTCAGCTATAAGCATTACTCAGTAAGTGAAATGATTCAGTGTTCTCATTCTATCACTGAACTATTGAGTAAATATATCTTCTCTCTCTAAGGTTTGTCTACTTATCTCTTTCTTCAAAACATAAAACTATCACTGGATCTTTCTATATTCAGTGATCAAACTCTTTTAAAAGATTGTTTCAGTGTTTCTTCCACATTTGAATAATTTAAGCAAATATATCTCTCTAAGATATATTTTTCTTTTCTTAAAACAAATATCATCACCGAACCTTTTCTTATTCAGTGATAAAAATGTTTTAAAAGATCGTTTCAGTGTTTCTTCCATCACCGAACCATTTAAGCAAATATATCTCTCTAAGATATATTTTTCTTTTCTTAAAACAAAAACCATCACTGAAGCTTTTTTTTCTTTCTCTTTCAGTGATCAATGTTTAAAAAGATATACTTTTCTTCAGTGATTCTTCTTATCACTGAACCTTTTCAAAAACATATACTGAAAATGGTTTTGAATATCTTAAACTTTTTGTTTAAAAAGAAATGGAAAATGAAATGTCTTATGACATCATTTTGTCTTAAATGATACGATTTTTTTAGACATGCATACCGTTCTGACACACGCGATCCCTCGAAATTCCATCCAATCGTGGATGAGAACGTGTTAACTTTTTCATCATTGCACAACTTTTAAGTCGTATTTTCCTTTCTCCTCTTATTCTCTCTCCTTGTACCTATAAATATGAGACCTCTACTCTCATTTTTTCCTTACGCTTACAAATATTTTTGTCGAACCTCTGCCTCAAAAACATTTGCAAGCAAGAACTCAAGAACTCTATAAAAACCTTCAACCTTCTTCTTCTTCTAAGAATCACAGGTTGATAACCCTTTCTTTCTCACTTTGACCTGTTCTTCTTCTAAGAAACTTATGTTATGTGATTTAAGAATTTGTTCTCTTAAAAAACTAACATACAGATTATTAACGCATTCTAATATTTGGTTATAATCTAAAGTTTCTATACACTTATTCTTCTTGAAAAACCCTAAATTTTCTTTGTGGATTTTTCAAAAGAAGTTTTATCATTTGAAAACTTAGAGTTTACATTTGTATCTTGGTTTTCTAACAAATCTGTTATTCTTTATTTTGTTATATTTATAATAGAGATTGTCTGCCAAGGACGTGAACTTCTCCATTGATGAAGTGTCTTTCAAGCCCAACAATCATGTGGCGCTTTCAGACATTCCGGCCAACAAATCATACTACGAGGATGCCGCTAAATTCTTCAAGAACTCTCCAATCTCCTTTTCTATTCTCTATGAACCTGTCATGGTGAAAGAAGCCCTTCATCAGTTCTGGCTTACTGCTGAAGTGGTGCAAGAGACTGACAAGACTAGTAAACCGGTGGAGAAAATTTCCTTCACCTTTAATAGGATGGGAGGAAAAACTGGTGGACAAGATCAAAGGTCCAGAGTTGCATTGAATATTGGCATTTCTATTATTCGCGAGAGGTCAATCAACTTTGCTGGCGTTATCTTTGAAGACTTGGTGCTGAAGCTGAACAAGCGCCAAAAGGAAAAAGTGGTACCTTACACCAAATTTTTATCTCTGGTGTTTGCAACAACTACTCCACGGAAAGCAACCTGCCCTTCTGCAAGCTAGGATCTAGAATCTTGGATCATAAGCTTAAATACGAAGATGTTCTTTCCTCCCTCAACACACATTGCAGTACTTCTTCATCTTCTGCAACCGTGCCTGCATATTCTTCTTCTTCATAGTCTCCAACTGTGCTGGTATGTTTTTCTTCCCTTGCTCCAGTGGTCAAGACTAAGGCAAACCCCCTAAAGTCTATCCCAACCACCACCACCCTCACAAATCACTCTTGGTTCTCCATCGAGGGCCAAGAAAGCCAAAAAGAGGATAACTACATCCCTGGCTATTACCTCTCAAAAGGTTCCAGTCATTGAAACAAGCCTTACCCCCGAGGCAACTTCAGCTTTATCTCCTCCAATCTCTTCAGTGATTTCTTCAGTCATTGTCGTACATGTGGCTCCTCTCCCAACAGCCTCAGTGACCCAAATCACTGAAGGTGTGAATATCAGCATAGCCACTGCTATACACCCACTTCCACCCCTCTCAGCCATCTCTTCTTCTCCTCTTTCTTTGGTCTCGACACACGCTAGTGATTCATCAGTGATTGTCCTCGTTGATGATGAAGCAATCACCACAGGACCTGAGGCTGCTTCTCTTGAAACACCTCAGTTAATGGAAGCCTATCCTATCAAAGGAAACCTGGAAAGAACCAGCATCAATCCTTCAGATGGTATTGATGACACCTTAGGTAATCTACAAACCTACACCTTTATTTCTTCTAACCCTGAGCTATTTTATGCTCAACCATCTTCTTTTTCAGGTCCTTGCTATGAAGAAACGCCAGCCATGGAAGAAGATTACAACATGGCTGGTGATGTGAAGCTGCTTCTCCCGGCAGTAGAGACTGTCTTAATCAAAATGGACTAAATCCATAAAGACATGCCTCTTAAGGATGACGTTTCCTCTGACCTCTCAACTGTCAAAGCTGAAGTGAAGGAACTTCTATCTGCAGTTCAAGCCGATGTAAGCACCAACACTAAGGCTATCTCTACTCTCAACAGTAAAGCCGATGAAGTACAGACTCAGCTTTTCAAGCATGGTGAGATGTTGTAGCAGATACTGAATCTTCTCCAACGTCCAGTGCCAACTCCTACACCCTCCTACACAGCTATGGATCGCCTATTGCTGGATCAGGCTCTCGAATTCGGTCTTCTTCAAGCTCGATCTCTGACCATGTTTGAACAACGAATGGACATTATATACTTAAGTCTTGATAATCTCTTCTCTTGTCATGTTGATGACAAAAAGGGGGAGAAAGACTTGGCTGATGCAGTCCCTACAACACCAGACGATGCTGATGTTGATGCTCAAAGAGCTGAAGCAAATGAAGATGAAGTTGTTGATGATGCCGTAAGAGCTGATGCTCAAGCTCATGACGAAGACCTTCCTATCACCCCTGCAGCTGACGTTGGTGATGAGGAAGATGATGATGATGAAGATGACGATGACTCTCCATCCCCTTCTGATGCTAGAAAAGATCTTGATGGTGATGATGATGAAGACAATGATGACGACGACTTCACCATTTAATACCACAACAAACTTGTCAGCGCTCTGAAAGAAGTCTCTCTCAGGGATTCATCATCCCAAGGGGGAAGAGAAAGAAAAAGAAAAAGAGACTTCCGCAAAGAACCAGAACACCTCTTCCAAAGACAAAGGTATTGATGAAGAAAGGAAATTTGAAAGTTCTCTTCAAACCTATCATTCCTCAAGAATATACTAAACGCTCCAGGTTTGCAAATGTCACTTCCTTATTTCAACTCTCTTCTTCTATCCTTCGACTACCCTGTGGTCGTCTAGAGGAATGTGTACCTAAAAGCCTAACTTCTAGTGTTCCTAGCGACCAACAGATGAATTAGCTTAAGGAGTCACTCGACCAACTAGAGTAAAAATTCCTCTTCATACCTCTAGTTGTGGTGAGTTTGACTTCCTTACAGAAGCTGAAAGACTCGAAGCACTCAAGGCTGATAAAGAACTCCAATTTCAGCAAAAACAGACTGAGGACAGCCTCAAGCTGGCCAAGTCTCTTGCTTCTCAAGTTCTTCCAAGGAAAATGTCTAAAAAAATGGTGAATGCTGTCAAGGCCAAAGGTAAATTGCTTTCAATTGCAGAAGCTGAACCTCAAAAAGCAATGAAGCTGAACGACCGAGACATGAAATGGCGCGAAGATCGTTTAATTAAGAGAATAAGTGCCCATCGCATCTCAAGCGTCACAATCAATGGACAAATGAAAGATGGTGGACTGCTCATCTCTAGAGACAACCTTAAAGATGTTACTGAGTACCCTTCCAACCTTGGACAATACGGTTATGGTGAATGGTTGGCAATCCACCAAGCCATTCAGCGCTGAAAGTCAAGGAACAAGCAAATAATTGAAGACATCCTCAGTGAGCTAATCAAGAAGATGTCCAAATTCGTTGATGTACCTACAAAGCCGATGTTGAAGAACGGTGGAGGAAGAAAACCTTCAGATCTTAGCAATGGACCAACTCTGAGGAACGAACATGAAACAAAGTTCTCCTTGGATGAAATCCTGAAGGATTCGAAGAAGCTAGACTTCTCGATGCTGAACCTATCTTTGCCAGCAAAGGGTCCTTACATACCTAACACTGTGCATCTAAAGCATGAGTTTGGATTTATATTCCTTGACTATGAAGGCGAACACAGCTTTCAAAGTATGTCTAAGCTAGGTCTCTATCTTATAGAACATCTTGATTATCTAAGATATTGGTTGGACTTTGTAGAACATCTTGATTATCGCAGGATCAAAAAAGAATTTCTACGTCGAAAGATGCTTGGAGAAGACGTATTTGGTTACATCGACTTCAGCGACTTAGAATAGTTAGAAATTTCTATCTTGTAAACCTTATCTTTCATTGTAAGTCTTATTTTTCTGTCTTTTCTTTTAGTGTACAACTTATATGTAATAAGTCTAGAATATACTGATTGTAACACTTGTAATTCACCTTTTGATTAATATAAGTATTCCATCTGTATCACTGAAAAAGAACCCTGAAAATAGTAATAGGGACACATGTTGATCATCTCTCTCAGTGATTTGATGATAATCCCTTTTTCCTTTCACGTTGTATTTATGTTTCTATATTTTCAGTTCCAGCAATCATCACTGAGTATGTTCAGTGATCGTTGAAGAACTTGCATTGTAAATTCATCGGAGACAACAATACTTCAAGAAGACAACACTCACACCAAAGAACCTTCAGCGAACGTCGAAGATTGAAACTGAAGATTAGAGACTGGCGAGTACGTGATCTGAAACGGTATTCAGTGATTACAAACCTGTCTACATATGTGTGAAGACTGCTCTAGCTTCAGCGAATGATGATGAGACCTCTAGGTCATCCCAGCATTCAGCAATCAAAAGAAGCTTGTTTAGCATGATAGTTGTTGTCTTGTCCTTATGCACACAAAGGACAAACCCATACCCTTGCAAAAGTTAGTACGGTACGAAGCTGATTAGTCGACTCTTTGTCCACCAACTTTAGGCAAGGATGTCTACTCAAGAATAGTGCTTTTGTACTATTCACTGTAGCAAAGGACAAGCCTTCCTTTTAAGGCTTGACACGCACTCTAAACCTACCATATTGCATTAAATGTTCATTTAATGCACTGGGTATAAATAGAAGTGTCTTCTCTTTGCACATTACGCGCCTCACTCTTCAACCTAATTCTTACTTCAAGCATCCTCTAGCTTAAGTAAAGGATCTATCATATAGCATTCTCTTTTCTGTGTTTTCTATAGCTTCGTGTGTAACCAAAGATTGTTTAGATAGATTTTCATTTACCTTAACTTCCGCAAACAGTCTTGTAAAATCTGTATTGATCTTCTCTATCAATATATATTTTAAATTTGAAAACATTGTGTTTGTATTCACCCCCCTTCTACAAACTGTTTCTTATCTTGTAGACCCTTTCGGGACCAACAAGTGGTATCAGAGCAGTGTTTTCTTTCTTTCCTTGTGTTTTGTTATTTCTCTGTATTAATTTATCTCTCCTTAGATAACTTACTTCTTTCAAATGGCTTTACATATTATAAACACACACAAAAAAAAGATAATGGCTCTCTTGCCAAACCTCCCCGGTTTGTCCGTGACAACTTTTGTCTCTGAAAGAACCTGATGTTCCTCTTTCAGGAAGGTGTGGACCTGAAATTCCACATTATATAGAAAATGGACCATATATTCCATTTGCTATTGTTCCGACTGTTCCAGCAACAGCTACGATTGCCACGATTCCTGAATGGCAGATTCCAAAGCTTCCACATCAATGGAGCGATGAGGACAAGAAGAAAATAGCTATAGACATGCGTGCTTAGTCTATAATAGCTATGTCTCTTCCTGATAAGATCTATCACTCAGTGATGAAACTCAAATCTTCTAAATCCGTATGGGATACTCTATGTGTCCAATATGAAGGAACCTCTCAGGTTCAGAAGACTAGAAAGATCAATCTAGTAAGACAATATGAAAGCTTTCTCTGTGGAAAGTCCGAGACGCTGTCTGAAGTACATCAAAGATTTAACTGCTTTCTTATTGATCTTAGGACTGTCGGTAGAGAATATTCTAATTCTGAAACTTTGACTAAGTTTCTAGAATGCCTTCCTGAGTCTTGGGACACCTTTTCCATGTGTCTCAAGATGTCAAATGACATGTCCTCTCTTTCTCTTTCGTCTTTATACGGGATTCTGCTTAACCATGAGCAATCTCGTCAACTGAAAAGAAATCTTGTAAAAGAATCCAGGGAAATGAAAAGCTCTCCTTTAGCTTTTATCTCTAAATCCCCTTCAGTTGAAACTTCTACTCCTTTTGTTTCTTCTCTACCTCCCGTGGTCATCACGGAGATTGACTCTTCTGAGGACATTCCAGAATCTGATTTATCAAATTTTGATGAGTCCCTGGCACTCCTAACTAAGTCTTTTAAGAGGTTTGCCAACAAGAGTAAATTCTGCAGATCTTCTCAGCTATCCCTAAGGGAGAAGCTAATGTCTGAAAGAATAGACAAGGCTTCAGCTGTCTGCTACAACTGTCACCGGCCCGGACATTTTACAGGTGAATGCAGATCCAAGAAGATTGCGATGCCATCTTCTAAAGCTCCTTCCTCCTTCAGGACCACAAATGATAAATACTTAAAACTAAAGGAGAAATATAAGAAGATGAAGAACAACCAGCGAAAGGCTAAAGGCCTTATTGCTGAAGAGCATGACTGGGCTGAATCATCTGATGAATCTTCTTCTGATGAGAAAGATAAAGCTTATGTCTGCTTGATGGCTATTGATGATGACGAAGGTTCTTCTAAAGCATCTACTTCTTCTGAGCCATCTTCTGTTACTCAGGTATGTACCCTGAATGAACCTTCTTCTAGTATTTCTGCACTAGATACGCTGACGGTTGACCTTTACAATGCCCTCAATGGCAAATCTAAAGCTGATATGCTTAACATTGATCTTCATGAGCAATTAAAGATTTGTCATTCTAAGATCAAAGAACTGACCTCTGTTGAGGAAAATCTTAAGGATCAGGTTATTGTAAACCTGGCCATCACTGTTGAACGTGAGAAAGCTATCGCTGAGCATGAGCGAGCAATCGCTGAACTCAAGACTGAGAAAGCTACCATTGAAGGATGGTGTAAAGCTTCTCTCAAAGCCTCTGAGATCATTAACGCTCAGATCCCCACCAAGAAAACGACTGGTCTAGGATTCTCCTATGATCAGGAAGAATGTGTTAAAGACAAGTCCATGCTTAAATTTGGTACTTTTGTCTCTTCTATTCCCAACACTTCTTCTTCTCAGTCCTCTTCCTTTACTGAGAGTCATCTTGAAGGAACTCCATTGAGTTCTGGATGCAAAGACAAAGGTAAATCCACTGTCATAGCATCCCTTCCTAAGAAGTCTAACAAGACAAATAGATCTAAATTTATTCCTTCAACTTGTAAAACTTCTTCCTCTTCAGGGACTAGGAAATCTGAATHGCWTYAKAAATCTAAGTCACAGCTCAAGGTGAACCTTTCACCTAAGGAATCCATTCCCTCAAAGGTTCCTCCTAGAACCAATGAGAAGGGAATCCTTGGAGCTTGTCCCGCATTTAATCTGATACTTCCTGGCCCTAAAGCAACTCTTGTCCTTAGGATGTGTAAACACTGTGGTGAAAAAACACATGTTTCCAGTAAGTATCGTCAAAGCTGGTTCACTAGCTTTGAGCAAGAAAGTTACCAAAGTTGAGAAAGCAACTAAAATGAAATCATCCACAAAGACTACCTCTNATTAAAGATTTGTCATTATAAGATCAAAGAACTGACCTCTATTGAGGAAAATCTTAAGGATCAGGTTATTGTAAACCAGGCCATCACTGTTGAACGTGAGAAAGCTGTCGTTGAGCATGAGCGAGCAATCGCTGAACTCAAGGCTGAGAAAGCTACCATTGAAGGATGGTGTAAAACTTCTCTCAAAGCCTTTGAGATCATTAACGCTCAGATCCCCGCCTAGGATTCTCCTATGATCAGGAAGAATGTGT